TTCAAAGACTAGCCATGTAGTCCATTAATCTGTGGGGGATAGGTTGCATAATAAGGTCTTCCAACAACATTCTGTTGCCATGTCTAGATGAAAGGGAGGCCAAAGAGATGATAATCCAGGTGCATGAAGGAGTCTGTGGTCCACACATGAATGGGCACAGGCTTGCCAAAAAAAAGACTTCACCTAGGATATTACTCTTGTATGAGGGAGAGGGATTGCATCCATTTCTTCAGAGATGCCACAAGTGCCAAGTGCATGCGAATTTGATCTACGCGTTGCCGACGCAGGTTCATAACCAAACCACATCATGGCCCTTTGCAGTATATTGCCTAGATATTATAGGAAGGTTAACCCGAAGGCAGCCAATTGGACATAAATACATCTTAGTAGCTATCGATTCTTTCACAAAGTGGGATAAAAACCTCCTACACCACGATCACAGCGGCACACATTATAATATTTCTAAAGAAGCGGCTTCATATTCATAAGCTTATGAACATTTTTCTTTTTTCACTTGTATCGTGACCGAAGCAAAGCCTCCAGTTGTGGGGTATATTTTGAGACTCTTATGATGACATGAAGTTCTCAAGTTAGTATTCAGTAAGCCAACATTGACTCTGACGCTAGTGATTTCGATGGGTTTCTTGATCTTTTTATTTTTTTAGTATCAAGCTGTTGATACTAGATATATAAAACTAGATATATAAAAAAGGTAACTCCAAAAATTTCTTTGTCCCTAACGCCCATGAATTTTAAGGAATTAAGAACTTCAACAGTCTTCTATGGGGTATCCAAAGTACGAATGAGATGGATTTTGTTGTACCAACCATTCTTGTTAATCCCGATCTTGATAAGGAAAGGGGGTAATTTCTAACAAAGTTTTCATTTTTTTTAATTCATAGGCGTAGTGCTTTTTCCCTATGCCGTCTATTGGACTAGTGGAGTAGAGTTGGCCTACAATAAATAATCCATAGGTGTAACCTTTCGCTCAATACTAAAATCGACAAATTGAAGCATTTAAGGCTGCATTAGATGAGATCCATGGGAGCAATTCTTAGATAGCAAGCACTAACTCCTGATGCGACTTCATAAAAAGCAATCAAAGATAAGATCGAAGAGAATGAAACACACGTAGTGGTCATTATAGCGGTTCCTTCTGATCCTAGAAAACGTCCGAAAAAACTTGCTACAGAACTACCGAGCAGGGGTAAAAATACGATAAGTAGATACATAATGTTGAGTGTGATCAGACAACCAAAAATTAGACAATGACAAAGCGGCCTGTGATTGAGTGATAGATTGATCGACGCCCGAAGAAGGCTCGACCGAAGGAATGAGTCAGAAGGAGAATTGTAAGCCCCAACGACAAACAAACCTATGCGCGGAGCATTTTCGGGGACTAGCCTCCTTCCTTCTTACTTGACTTCCAATTCTACTCTTTTTTTCTTACATTTGCATAACTTCCTCTTTATCGCCATTCTTCTATTTAAAAACTACACCCCACCCACCCCTCTATTTGAGTAAGGTTGGAAAAAAAGAGGTCCTTGTTTTATGAAACTTCAACCTACGCTCGGAATACGGATGAGATCAGAAAAGCCATTATTGGGGCAAACGATGCAATAGCTTCGGTTAGAGCAAAGCCCAAAATGGCATAACCAAATGATTGTTTAGCCAATGATGGATTTCGCACCATGGAATGAATCGAGGAACTAAAGACGTTTCCAATACTGATAGCAGCTCTCGCTGAAGCAATTGTAGTAGCTCCGACACCCATTGATTTTGTACCTTTTAACATCTCGAGTTGAGAATTCTCGTCACGCTTTTTCATTCATGATTTTATGTTATAGATTCCTCGTCGATTCTTCCCCTCGTTCCTTTTCTCTTTGGCATCTTTCTTGGAATGCACGCTTGAGATAATGCAAACACAACCAGAATTATTGTACAAACATAGAGTTCACTACTTAAATAGTGAGTGAGGGAGGCGCACAATGAAGACTTCAGAACAGATTAACCCTAGACTTAAAAATGTATTTATATGGCTATGAATATTCGAGTTCAATTCGGTAACCCGAGGGGTTAATCTGAAGCTCGTCCAAATTGAATTTGGGTTGGGGTTTTTTGACCTAAGCCCAACCTAAGTATTAAAAACTTTAGCCCAAGTCCTAATTTTTTCGGGTTGGGCTCGGATTGAAATCGATTTTCCCGCTCAAGTTGCACCCCTAGACAGAAGTGAGAGAAAGAGGCGCGAGAGAGAGAGAGGCGTGACAGAGAGAAAGGCCTGAGTTGGGTGGGAAAAAAAATTCAGTACATACCGTAGACCATTGGATCAAAAATTTTAAAATGATTTGAACTGTCTCTTATGTTGGGATTACGTTATTCGTTAAATATGCTTATATTTTGTCTCAAAAAAAATCTGAATCTTTCTTTGTCTCCAAAATTCAAACTCAACTCTACTTTATTATATATATATATTTGATGGTAAGAATTGAAATCACAAAAATCTTTAGAATTCAAAAAATTTTAAGAAATGTTTAGTTTTGGAAATTGTGATTAATAACTTTTTTGTATTATTGATTCTTAAAATTAAAGGTCTCTTCATCTTTCTCATCTAAAATGACTTTTATGATTTTTTTTTAACAAATGTATTTTTATCTTAAATATTTTAAAAAATATACTTTTATCTTATTAAGTTCTTAGAGAGTTACCGATCTCCCTAAATCTCCAAATATAAACTTCGCCATAGACACAAATCCGCTGTACGCAATTACAAATATATTATTTACATATTAAATAATTTAAACACTACACAACTTTTTAACAGACTTTCCTCCGTATTTCCATGTGAAGTCGAAACGGAAAGATCAAGCAAATATCAGGTGTTTAGATTTAAATAATTTATTTTCTAATGGCCCAAGCTCTCGTGTCTTTCCTGTACATTTTTAAACCCTGATTCTCCAACTTTCGGCAACTTTCCCGAGAAAATACAATTCCGATGGCCGCCAGACTTACCTCCCGACTCGCCTCTCATCTCCTCCGCGCCACCTCCCTCCTGAACCACCCCCATCCCCCTCTCTTCACCATGTCCAAATCTCAACCCTCGATCTTTTACCTCAAACCGCTGCCATGGATCGCTTCCAACCTTCATCGATTCTTCTCGACCAGCCGTCGCCAACCAGTCCGGTCGAACCGTGTAGACATCGGATCCCGAGCCAGGCAACTCCAGAACCGCCGGCTCTGGACCTACGCCGTAACCTTCAGCAGCATCGCAGGCTTCATCATCATCGTCCTCAATCAATTCGAAGATTCCTTGGTGTTCTACGTAACCCCAACCGACGCTCTCACCAAATACACTGAAAACCCTACGAAGAACAAGTTCCGACTCGGCGGGTTAGTCCTCGAGGGAAGCGTGAGCCAACCTGGTTCAGAAATGGAGTTCGTAATTACGGACTTGATCACGGACATTTTGGTAAAATACCAAGGGTCCTTGCCGGATCTGTTCAGAGAAGGCCATTCGGTGGTGGTGGAGGGGTTCGTGAAGCCTATCACGGGGGAGATTAAGAGGGAGAATTTGATCGGAAGGAAGAGTGTCTCGGAGAAGGCGAGGAGTGTGGAATGTTATTTTGCGGCCACCGAGGTTTTGGCGAAGCATGATGAGAAGTATATGCCCCAAGAAGTAGCGGCGGTGATTGAGAAGAATAAGAAGAAGATTGAGGCTGCAAGCGAAGAGGGAAGGAAAGAGAGACCTGCCACTGAGGCGTAGGTAAATGGTTATCCTCAAATTTTTTTTTTGTTTTATACTAGTTATATTGTCTGATTACGGGATGGTTTTGAACATCATTGAGAGAGATGATTGATTGATTGATTGAGGAGTTATAGTGTTATGATTTTGTAGTTTTAGCACGAAGGTCATGAATTATAGTTTGTTTATTAATTCGGTTCTCCCCCGAGAATATGTGGGGTTGATTCTTAAATTTTGGCAGAGTAATGAATAAATACAATTCAGGATTCAGTATTTTGTGATGTTGGCTGGCGGATATTTTATATAAATTGTGGTCTGGATTTTAACATGGAATTTGCAATTAGTGAATTAGTGTGCATGTAACAAAAGCATTTCTACTTACTGACGTAGGTTATTCATTGTTTCAGATTTCTGAAAATATGTTAACTGAAGGGAAACCATGATTTTAGCTGGCATTTGTCACAAGGGCTTTTTCTTTATATGTAGCTTTAAATCTTTGTCGTGGAATATCTGTAGATTGCATTCTTATTGTTTGGTAGAAGCCTTGTGATTATATTTGTGTGTTTTTTTCCCTTTTCTTTTGTTTATAGTGATTCATGAGTGATATTATGACATGGTAATACTTAATGATTATTGTTAACTGGTGTGTTAAAACTGTAGTTTTTTGTCAAAACTGGCAAAGTAAATCTGAATAAGATGTCATGGTTGAGAACTGTGTTTATGTGATTTTTTGGATGGAAAACAATAAGGAATTGGACCTTCACAATGTGTTGGAGAAATTAACGACAATGAATGATAAAGATAGAAACGGTAGTATGAAGAGGAGGGCGATAATAAATTAAACCTTCACTCCATAGGAATATTGTAATGGTTACTAATCCTATCTAGGATTGTTTAGGTGCTTCTTGGAACTCTTTTAGGAACTTGAGTAGACCTTCAAGTTTTGATCCTAAATTAGTTGTTGGACGGATTTTGTTTGAGGATTTCTGGAATATATTCTGTGCCCAAGCAAAAATTTATCTTGGTTGATATCTTGAGTGTATTGCTAGTTGCTCCACTTAAGTTTTTGCTTTGACATTTTTACAAACCCAATGTTCTTTACTCTATTGTCTCCTAGTCCTTTTTCATTGGGAAACTTCCATGTACGGCTTGGATTCTTGTAAGTGTGCATGTTAAGGTATGAGGGACCCGGCATGGGCATAGTGTCGATGAGGATTGATGAGGGAGGATGGATAAGTCTTTTTAATATATTTTTCTTTAAATTTTTGGACCTCATTTTTATGGAGATTTGGATAACAGTACAATATTTTGCATTCAGTTGGGTTCAGATATGTTGGTTTAGGTGCATCCGTGAGTAGTTATTTACTGAGATCTGCAGTTGGTTTGTTTTGCTAGCGCCATGTTGAAGTTGAATTAGTTAGTGGCTAGTAGCATCTCTTTGTAGTTATCAGTCTTTTAATTTCGGATGTCACATGGATGGATGCTTTATTGAAGCCATCCTGATTTGTAGTCCTTGTTTAAGTGTTTCAATAGTGTGTAGGATTTGAATAGTGAACTAAAGTAGAAGGTTCATTTCATATGCAATGACTTGGTTGGAGGTGGAGATGCCCCAGCAAAGCAAGAGCAAGCAATGGAAAAGGGGTTCAAGACTGGGTGAGGCGATGGGTAATGACGTCTTACACATGTGACAATACACAAGATATAAATTGCTTGATTGACTGCCATGGAGAATGGGAGATAGTTTTTGAGTAATAACTAATCAGTGACAAAGTTCATTCTTATTATACTGTAGATGTTGGCAATCAAATTGCTTGACATATTCATTGTAATGTGATTGTGAGATATTGAAATTTGACTACTGTGAAGTTGGCGGCACTTATAATCGTGCAAAATAAAAGGAAGATTGAGAGGTTGGGCGGGCAAGGAGAAGAGAGTTACTATGGTCGTAGATACATAGGAATGATACATTCTTCAGTTTCAGAAACTCTTACATACTGGAAAACCGATTATACTGTAGTTTCGAACAAGTTTGTCATCAAAACGTGTATCAGAGGGCTTATAATTTGTTTTTAAAATTAATGTATTGTGTATTTTAACGTATCGTATATTAGTAATGGATCATATATTGTAAGATACGTATATATATGAACTCACATGTATATGTATGAGATTGTTGAAACGTGTATCATAGAGCATATTGTTTTTTTAAGTGTATTGTGTATCATCATAAACACGTATATCTGCGCGTGGGCGTATGTATAGAGTATCAAAACGATAAAGATATTTCAAGAATCAAAACAAATTTTAAAAATTCAAGCTTACAACATTGTTCATAAATATCAAAATTTAAAGATTGAAAAAATAAAAAATAAAAATCTATTCCTATAGTCCTATGAATCACTTTTGAATCTCGATCTTTAGTTTGATAAGCAATAATATCTTCATCATCGGATTCTAACAAGTCTTTACCGCCACTTATCTTTTTCAACCTTTCTGTATGTTTTCATCTTTTTTCATTATTTTTTTTCAACTGCTTGCTTTTCAATAGTTTTCTTATTTGCGAAATATTTCTAGGCCCCCATGGAGACAATATAAATTATATAAATATTACAATGAGTGAATTAGTCAGGACATTAAACAATATATATACAGAGTATCTAGAGCATTTTTCTTCTCTTTTTCTTTTTAACCTTTTCCCTTTTGAATCCATGTGATCCGTGTCATAATGTATTGTGCATCGAATAGTATTGTGCAATATGTATCATGTATCATAAAAAATGGTGTAAAGGAAAAACTTATTGTTTTACTCCTATATCGAAATGTATCTTATATATCAAATTGTGTATCATGAGATACTAGCCACCATAGTTATGAACTCTCAAATTATGTATCGTGAGACACTAGCCACCATAGTTATGAACTCTGCGTGTGTAAAAAATGTTGTAAAAGGATACACTTATACAAAACTTGTCGTTTTATTCCTATATCGAAATATATATTATATATCAAATCATGTATCGTAAGATACTAATTACCATGGTTATGAACTCTGCGTGTGTGTAAAAAATGTTGTAAAAGGATACACTTTTAGAAAACTTATTGTTTTTTTCCTATATCAAAATATATCATATATATCAAATCGTGTATCATAAGATACTACGGTTATAACTCTGTGTGTGTGAGAGAGAGAGAGAGAGAGTTGATTGTTGATTCTTTTTAGTAACTGGAAATTTGAAGTAATTTTTAGGTGATTGAAGAATTGATTTGGGAAATTAGAACAATGTCTCTGAGTTGCTCTTATGGAGTTGTTTATACTGGGAAGTGTTTGGGTATATTGGGTATATTGGGTATATTGTGCGCTAGTTACTTTGGCATTGAAGTTGACCGTGCAATATTGGTAATAACATATGCTTATGTCGAGTTAGAGGTTCGTCTAGAAACCTAAATTGTGAATACACTACCTATGACTGAATGTACAATGAAACATGAGATTTGATGATACCTAAAATAAATTTCAAGTGTTAAGGTCAGCTCGGACCAGAAGGTCAGACATTAGCAGAGGTCAGAGGGTAAGGGTCGAGTGTCTCTTAAGGCAAGATAACAGCTGAATAACCACGAGAGGATCTTAAAGCGTTAGGAAATTGTAATCAAGGCACCCAATCTCAACCAACCAAGATCTTCTCCTAGAATTAAGGAGAACCCCACGAAATAAGGACAAGAATCTCGGCTAAAATCCTTCTTAGCAGAGAATGACCTTATAAATGCAAGGTAACACCCCCTAACAAAGGGGGGACTCGAGTGGCAAAAATAAGTCATAGCAACCTTGTAATCACCATGAATAAATAAAAAAGGAGCAAGAGCCTCCATTCTAGAGTGGACTAGTCAAGCTCCTAAGCTGGTGAACCACTATAATTTTGTTGTCTTAACTTTTAAAGCCCTGAATATTATGGCATCATCTTAGCAACCTAACATAATCCCAGCTCATCTTTTGTAAAAGTGCGTTAACGCCATCAGTTTGGCGCCGTCTGTGAGAACGATTGTTCTTGTTACAAATAAAGCTGATTTTTTAGTGACTGATGGTATCAACGTAAAACATGAGCCGAAGTCAGACCAATCCTCTACGGATGCAAGATCAATAGGAAGTCACAAATAACAGACAACCCGAAAACGCGCAAGAAGTTGTCCCCCCATGGGGGGGCCTTCCCATGAATAATGAGATGGAGGTCCTTCGTCTTGTTAATGAACGTCTGATAAAATAGAACGAAGAGCTCTTAAAGCTCCTACAACGCCCACAGGAGGCGCGACCGGCCCAAGGAGGACAGAATATCCACCACCAAGGGAGCAACCGTATCTCGACCCCCTCAGAGAAGTTAATGAGGTGGAAGAGAATAACCAGACCTTGGGGCAAGAACCTCGCCTACCCCCTAGGAATATGGTTGCAACGAGGAAGTGCAAAGTCAGTATAAGGAAGGGGAGAGGAGCGACTTCTTCCCTTATCAACAGGAGAAAAGAGAACACCACTGGGAGCAACGTTTCAAAGACATCCAGCAAGAGTTCAGCCAGATGAAGGAGACAGTGAAGAGTAAGGCCCCAGTCAGTATGGATGCCTTGGTGCAGCAAATTGAATCCTCATTCACTGCTGGGGTGCTGCACTTCCCTCTCTCACCTAAATTCAGAATGCTGCAGGTGGATGTTTTCGATGGGACAAAAGATTCCGTGGACCACCTCAACATATACAAAAATCAAATGGAGTTGCATGAATATCAAGATTCAGTGAGATGCAGAGCCTTTGCTATCATCCTGAAGGGCTCAGCCTTAACATAGTTCAACAAACTCCCCCCAGCCTCGATTTCCTCTTTTAAAGAGCTGTCAATCTCGTTTGTGTCCCACTTCATCGGAGCTAGGACCTATATGAAATCGAGCTACTATTTGTTAAATGTGAAACATAAATCTGATGAGAACCTACGGTCTTATGTCCAACGGTTCAACTCAGAATACTTGAAGGTGGATGTCCCAGATGAAAAATTTGCTATTACAGCCTTCATAGCAGGTCTGAGAGTTCAGTCAAAAGATCTGATGTTTTCCATCTCAAATAACACTCAGGCTAGTATGGCGGAGGTGCTTGCCAAAGCAGAAAGGTACATAAATGGTGAGGAAGCGCTCCTCTCCAAGGTCGGGAGCCCTTCGTCGAGAAAGGAGAAAGAGAAGGAAGAAAAAAAATAGAGAATGAAGTCTCAGAAAGGAAAGATAATGAGGCAGGTCTCCAAAAAGAGACAGAGAGCATTTCTCGAAGAGAAGAGGAAATGTCAGGGATCGCTTCGACCCTCCACAACTAGAGCTACAACTAAGGTATGCACCCCGACAGTTCACCCCCCCTGACTGCTACGGTGTCTCAGATATTGTATGAGGTGCAAAATGAGAAGTTCTTAAGGTGGCCACCCCGGATGAAAGCAGACCTGGCAAAAAGGGATCCTACGAAGTATTGTGACTTCCACAGAGACCATGGTCATCACACCGACGACTGTATCCAATTGAAGAAAGAAATAGATTTTCTAATCCAGCGAGGGCAGCTGCGACGCTATGTGGCCAATGATAATCAAAATCGAGCTCTCCCACCTCCACCC